ATTATTCATTGGTGCAATAGTGCTTACGGGTGTGCAGCAGAAATTATAATGTATATGTAATGACTAATGAGCCTATCCCCCAATTTATCAAATTACACCAGACAACCAACTTACAATTAGGTACTTAAAAATCAAACTGTACAATTCCGATGTAGTTTGGATAAATTGGAGGGGTTAACTTCACATATTATATTATATGAAGTGATTTCTACATTTTTATCTGAAAACAAAAGATTTGTATCAACCTTATTTTACAATTATTTTTAGATTTTTAATTGTCACTCCAAGCAACGTCAAGATAAAATTAATTTTAAGAAACTATGTAACATTTTATTCTTTATTCTTTTAATAAAAAATTTATTATACATTATTGTTGTTGATAACAACGAATATATTTTCGTTTTTATTTTATTTTTTAGTACGAAAATACGTTTGAACACTAATAATTTTGGTAATGGTCCAATATACAATCTACCAATGTGGCAATGTTAGTTAACATACCGATAAGGTTTTATTTATCTACTGGTTCTTCTATCAATATTAATGTTAGTCGACATTTAGTTTTATTAAATCAATGTGTAAACTAGACTGGTAGAAACAAAAACACTAATGTTGATTGGTTTAATCTCTGTAGAAATATACTAGTATATTATTTTTCAAAAAGAGAGAAAATGGGTGGTCATGATTGTACTGTATACTAATTGACGAATCCCTTTTTCAAGGTTAAAAGAAGTATAACCGTGGTCGATCATAATGTGCAGATCATTAGCCATTAAGTGAAATATATAATTCCAATCACAAAAATTCTAATGAAAATGAAAAAGTAAATCAAATAAGGGAAGAAGTGTGATAGAGATCATGTCGAAATTCAAAAACCGTGTTTTTGATGACTTTTTGGCCGACGTGAAAAACGTTTCACAATAATTAACTATAAAAATATAGTTATTGGCGATACTAAGAAGTGGAATAAAAAATATATGAAATTAATTTATAAGTTGGTTAAATTTTTATTTTACATTTATGATATAGGTTTTTCAAACCTACATTTCAATTCGACCGTTATATCATTAATTTTACTTAACCATCATACTAGTTTATCTAAAGTCTATAGTTTGAAGTATTTGAACCAATCGCTACTATACTTTAAAATAATGAATAAAATTATACATTTTAATATAGTTTAGTATATGGCGTGTATGACGTATGTGCGTTATAACCTGTATACTAATTACAATTGTAATGTTAAGTTTATAAAACTAGTATTCATAACAAGACTGTACAAATTTAAAAACTTAAATTTAATATTTTACTAATGTAATGCTAATCTAGCAGAAACATCTATAAGACTTTTCTAAATATTTCCCACTACTATATGAATAACGAAGTTGTACCTTATGCCTTATGATAACATTTCAATTTATGTTGGAATTGGTTTTGAAATTCTTTTAAAATTTAATCACCGCTAAAAATATATAATATTAATATTGTGAATTTATATTTAAAACATTTTCAAGCACACAGAGTCATAAACTCTATTTCGTATTCCCTGGAAAAAAAACTGTTCTGCAATTGTGTATTTCTAGACATCTCTCAAGCATTCGACCGCTTATGGCATGACGGGTTTTTTGTACAAACTTAAGAAATTCCTGCATCCCACCTACTACTTACTTATTAAATCCTATCTTAAAGATCGGCATTTTCAAATACGCTACGGTTCTGCTTTATCTGACGTAGCAGTTATCAATGCTGGTGTTCCCCAAGGGGGCATTTTGTCTCCTATTCTGTACAAAATCTTCGCTTCTGACCAACCAACTACCCCCCAACACATCAGTAGCAGACTACGCTGATGACAAATCAATAATTTCTGTTGACAATGATCCACTCATAGCGTCAAATAATCTTCAAACTCACCTTAACTCCGTGGAAAAATAGTTAACCAACTGGCGATTCAAAGTAAACCAAAGTAAATCTGTCCATACGACATTCACCCTCAAACATGCTTCCTGTCCTAGAGTTTTTCTATATGGTATACCTATCCCTTACTCCCCAAAAGTCAAATACCTCGGGCTCACTCTCGACCAAAGATTAACCTGGGCTAATCAAATCAAAATCAAAAGATTAGCATTGAATCATCGCGTCTCCGTATCCTCAAACCCTTAATAAGCAACAACTCTACCTCCATTAAAACCAAACTCCTGATCTACAAAACACTCCTTAAACCCATATGGACGTACGGACTTCAATTTTAAGAAACGCTAAAAAGTCTAACATACTAAAAATACAAATATTTCAAAATATCGCTCCCCGAAAAATAATGAATGCCCCACTCTACGTGTCTAATCATACCCTTCATACTGACACCAAACTCAAAACAATTAACGACGAAGTAAAAATATTTCATAAAAGATTCTATTCCTAACTAAATAACCACCCTAATGGACTCATAAAAAACGTGTCTACTATCCTCTCATACCTGGTAATCCCCCTAGACGCCTGAAACGTATAAGTGGTATCGTGATCTCTTAAGATAAGCTTGAAAATATTAAAAAAAAATCCATGGAAAGTGCCATCGATGGATGGCTCCTTTTATCAAATTTCTATGTCAATCTTTGTAACTCTCATCAAATATACTTATTGTGTCTAGTCTGATACAGATTGTGTATAACGTTTAAAAAAAAAAAAAATATTTAAAACATGATATAAATAGTCACTTAAATGTATGAATTCAATTTTATCTCTATAGTAATGTTTTGGGAATAAAATAAAATTGGGTAATCCCTTAACCCTTCTTTGCAGGTGACGTATAAGTATACGCAACGTACCAATTTCATTATTTAAAATTTGACAAATTTAATCCTTTGAAAGTCTCATAAGACCAATTTGCGTTATAACAAAGAACAATTGTGAAAATTAAATTGTATTTATTTTAAATGAATTTATAAAATATTAATTAGAAAACATATTTACGGATTTCGCAATTAAGTTTTCTATTCAAACTTTAAATCTATATCCTCGTTACTCAATGTTAAATTATGATACTTAGAATGTTTTTATCGTCATAATTAAGTGATTACTATAGTTATTCCCTGGTCAACACTTTAAATATTTTAAACTTCTATCTCATTTATAATGATAGCTACATATTTTTTTAACTCTAGCTATACATTTGCTTATACATGCAGCACACTAAAATAGAGGTCGTAATGTAGTATTAATATACCTATGTGTTTGTATATCGCTTTTGTGGTTAATATAGAATTTACTTTAGAAATGGTATGATGATAGATTATTCCTAAAAAATTGTTTAATCCGTTCAAATAACAAAATAATGTAAACATTACGTTGGTTGGTGTAAGTATTGTACCTACTAATTACTAAGGTACCATGCCACTATCAGTGACGGTACCTATCTAATTTATTAAGAATAATGACGTTCATGAAGTACAATACTAAACAATTTTAATACAGCAGTTTATAGATGAAATTAATATGAGTTTTGGTACATTTAGAAAAAAAAAGTTTATGATGGATAATTATGTAAATTATTTATTTTATTTTTTTATTATTGATTGGAGTACTACATTATATAGAGCCTCTTTTTTTGATATGGAGGTTTATCCCTCATAATCCTATTCATTCGGATTGGGGAGAGTGCGCTTGCTAAAGTTTTCCCCCGGTCTCTAATTAGCTTAACACGATACTAATTAATTCTATTTGGCATAATGCCAAATAGATATATCATATAATGTCATTAACTGCGTGTTTTTAATATGCACTTTTTTATGAGCTTTTACTAAGAAAATGTTATCTTTATTATTAGTTTGTTGTATGTATTTGATTGAAATAATAGTGTTAAACACTTTTGTATCATTATTAGTTATTTATTAAAAAGGAATAAACTTAGGTATTATTGTTGTTTTTTTTTTTTTTTTTGTCGTTATAGTCTATGTACAGTTGATACGCACAGAATACCATTTTCAAGTTCGTAATTTAAACGTAAAACGTACCCGTCTGTACATTTTATTACTATTTACCCTTGTCATAGATAATGAGATAAATAACCATTGATAAAACGTAATTAATTTAGTATAATTCACTTAATATTTCAACGTATTATTAAATAAAAATAATAAAGAACGATTTTAATGATTACTGATTAGTGTCATTAAACTTATTATTGTACATCAGTTAATGGAGATATGCATTTACATTAAAATAATCAATACAATAATTAATTTAAAACTTATATTTTCACTAAGTAGGTAATCTAACCTAACTTATCTCTCAAAAACAAATTATTAAAATGTTGATAGGTAGCGAAGCTTCAATCATCATGATAATTATTAATTATTATTATTATTATTATTATTATTACATGTTAATTTGTAAACTTTGTTAACTATCAATAATTTTTATGTACAGATTATGTATTAACTCTAAATATAAACCCACTAGCCACTGCAATATACATTATAATCTTGGTGACATTTGTTCACGTGACTACCAACTTGAAGACAGAAATCAAATAAAATATATAACTGTGAACTTATCTTTTATAGTTTTGGATACTTATTTTTTTCATCCACTATCGTTATTATTTATTATTAAAATAAAAATATAAATGTCTAAAATGGCATTTGATAATTAAAAAAAAAAAATCATTCATTTCGAAGTATTATTTATGAAGATATTTTATAACGTGTTTTAAATATATTTTCTCCTTTCATTTTTACAATAACTACATTTATACACATACTTACAAAAAAAATAACATAAAAGTATGGAATCTTAAATCTGGATTTAGTTATACTATATGCAGTTTACGGTAACATTGCTAATTTCATGTTCAATATTGCTTATATAATGACCGCGAATAAGCTAAAATGCTTCAAAAATAATTTATTTCACTTCTTTCTTTTCTTTCTTCCCTTACATTTTTTTTTTTTTTATTAATTATTATTATTATTATTATATAATACAATACAATACAATATTTACAGTTGATGGCTAATGGTTGTGAAGAAGTGGTTGTTAATCCAAACCAACAAGTCCGAGGTCACAGAGAACGTGGTCGTAGTGTTGGTTCAGTAGGTCCAATGCGATCAGAAAAACGATCATCTGATAAGTCACCCTACTCTAGCGGTCCTTATTTATCACCTCCTCCTCCTGATACTAGCTGGAGACGTACTCATTCAGACTCAGCTTTACACCAGAGTGTTTCGCAGAGCAGTTCTACTGAATCGTTGGCACATTTACACAGTCCTGGATCTCAGCGCAGAAGTAAGCACTTGGACTATGTTACTTTTTACTCTTTATTTTTATTTTTTATTTTTACGTGAATATACAATCTACTCTTATTATAATATATAATAAGAATATATGCTAAAAGTAACAAATATGACGTAACAATAAACATTTTTGATGAAAGGAGTCATTGATATTTTTTAATGTATTAATATTTTTTTACATTAAATCTCACGACAGATCACGAAAATACTTGCGCTTTAAGCGTCTTTAGGGATTACCCGGTATTGTTGCGGAGGCCAAATTTTTGATTAGGGAATTTCTACGAGTACTTTGGTAGTTGTGATCTTTCAAAAAAATACTTGGCTTCATTGTTTTTAACTTTAAACGTGTAGAGTTATCCTATATGGTAACATTGCTAATTTCATATTTAACATTACTTAATAATGACCGTGAATATTGACTGCAATTTGAAATGCTCCAAAAATAATTTATTACATTTCTTTTTTCTCTTCTTCCCTTTCGTTATTTTTTATAAATTATCATAATTATAATTATAAGTAATAATAATATAATATAATACTATACTATACCCATATAGAATGTAATTTGATACGCAAGGAGACGCATTTTTTAACTTTCTTATGATAATGTTTTGGAAGATGTTAATTTTATAGTATTTGAATTTTTCATCTTGCCTCAAAATAGTCATAACTATAGTCCGTATTTCTGTATTAGTCTTAGTAAAGTTTTGTACTTACGAAATTTTATACCTATGAAAGTGTATTTATTATTGCATAGTAAAGTTTTGAGCATGGCGTATAGGTGATTATTTAGAACTAATTTTTTAGTTCTAATATTTCGGCCCAAGTTATTTTTTGTTTGTGTGTTAGACCAAGATATTGAACATAGAGAGAATTTAGAGAATACGTTCCTGTGGGATACTATAAAGATAATGTACATTAGTACACGGAGCAAGTCTCAATTTTTTTTGGCAAAATTTAAAATTCCATTTAGTTAACTAATTTTCCATACGATCAAGGAGATTTTGCAGATTTATTGAGGAAGTGAGAGGATCATTGTTGATAAAAATTATTGTTTCATCATCAATGTAATCAACTGTTGATGTATTAAGAGTAGTTAGATTAGTTAGAAACAAAAACGTTGTGTATAATATGGGATTAAATTTCGCCTTGAGGGAACACCATAGTTATTAACTACTCGTTCAGAGGGTGTAAATTTGCAAGTGATGTTCTTAGAGATAAAATTTTATAATTAAGTAGTAAGCAGGCAGAGTGAGTTTTTGAACCTATATTACGTATATAGAAGGCAATCGTGCCACGTGCGATAAAAACTTGTAAGATGTTTAAAAATGTATATATATATATATATATACAGTATAATTTATTTTCAGTCGAATGAGAGCACAAAAATCGAATAGGGTATCAAGCAGCACGTAATTTTTTATAATGATGGGTAGTATACATTTAAGAAATAATTTTTCAAGTATTACACACAAGCCAACATAAAGTTTATTGAGTTTCTCAACATTAAAGTAAACGTAGAAATGTACATAATATAAACAAAATAAACTGTCATTTAAACACTGTTTAAATATGAAAGCTATTAAAGTGCGTACGTATAATAGACAACTTCCACCGCGAGACTTACTTTTTACTCTTAACAATAAATTCACTAAAACTTTTTAAAATTTGTTTTATTTAGCGTTAATTGATAACCAGCAGTATGATAAGAAAAGATACTTATCAACATCGCCGGATAAAAGACCTAGGTCTTGCTGTGACGTACCTAGAGTTCCTGGAATTCAGTAAGCCATTATTTTTTAATCTCTTACTAAAATTTTTACTATGAATTTTTCTAGTGTTTTTACCACTCAACAAGAACCAGGCGTTGTTCAAATACCCATTGGCAACAATACTGGTTCATTACCTGACCTCACTAATTTTCAGTTTTCTCAGCCAATCCACGCTCCTCTTGATCAGGATGACCAGTATAATTTATCATCTCCTTATAATAGCAACGTAAGATCATTATTATACTATTATTATTTGTTTTTTTTTAATTTCCTTTTAGCACATTTAATACTAACCACATCCATAAAAAATTAACAATTTAGATCTTTTAATAAATAAATTAAGGAAAATTGATTTCCTTGATAGTATGTGATTAGATTAGATGGTTGTTTCAGCAGAGCCCACTAACAACAGATGGTTGTAGTCCTCAAGGTTCTCAAGGCTCTCAAGGTACTCCGAGCCAGAGTCCAAGTGTTCTATCCCCAGTATCAATTAACAGCCGTACACCACCTACACGATTTTCATTTACAAGTTCGCCACCACCTGATTCTCCTAATCAAACTACCTTGGTCACTTGTGACATTGTGTTACCAGTGAGTTTTCTTCAGAAAGTTTCATCCCAAATAGATTTCATGACATTTTCATTTTCTGTTATGTAGATTAATTGCTTGAGTTATTTTTTGTAGCCAAAATCTAGTATGCACGTTTGATGCGTTTAAACCTTACCAAATATTTATAAAAAGTATTCTTTGATTTATTTCTCTTTATTTTTGAAAGTTAGAGTTGTTTACATACATATAAATATATCTTGTCCTTAAATTTTATTAATTTTTTTCTTATGTTATTGCTAGCTTGTTTTTTCAATGCATGGTTTCACAACATTTTATCAATTTTGCACTATTTAGTGAAGGAATATAAGCATAATATTTGTTTTCTCTTTTACCCACACAGGACGTAGCAAATTTGTATTTAAAACTAAGTTTGTGTTGTTAGATTTAGTATTAGAGTAAAATGATCTATTATCAAACTTAAAGTTAAGAACTATAAAATGTTGGTTTCTTACAATATTTCAATTTTAATACGAGCTATAAATATGTAAAACATTACAATCTCTATTTATTATTGAAATATTGTTAAAAACCAACTTAAGAATACATATATGCTTTTAAATTTAAATTTGATAATAGATCAATTCGCACTAATATTAAATTGAACAATACAAAGTGAGCCATAATGAATGTAAATTTACTATGTTCTGCATAGGTCAGAGAGAAAAATCAAATAATATGCTGACTTCCTGACAGTTGTATTTTAAAAGTATATGTATAATAAAACATAATAAATAGAAGTTTTGCTTTGTAACTAATTTATCTTCTATCTATTAAGTATTATTTAGATATTTGATTATTCATTTTAAGTACATTGATATGATTGCAGAATCACCTTAGTGTTCCTTACTTTATGAACCATAGGTTACAACGCACATGTAAGGTTAGTTGCACGCAATTTAATTATTTTTTTTTTTTTACAATATATACCCAATAGTTTTAATACCTTTTTTATGTGTTGTGTATATTTGTCTATTTCATTTATTTTTTGCTTACAAACTTAAAATGACTGCCTGTATTTCACTTTATTAGACAAAACAAATTAAGCACACTTAAAAATGTGTTTAGTATGATTAATTTTATAAATTTGTTTTTTACAGGGATTTACTGTAGATAATAGTCCAGGGAATGGTAATTCAGGAGATAACTGCAATAATAACAGAAAAATGCAAATATTAGGCCAAAATTCAAATATGAACTGTGTAACTGGCCAAATGAATGGTATAAAAATGAACCCTGTACAAACAGTTATGTATCAGCATATTCCATTGTCACCAGCACAACAACAAACTCACCAGTCGTGTAGTATTGTTAATGGCCAAACTGAAATAAATTCCTCGCATGTAAGTTTTATTAATGTAATCATTATATATTTATATATAATACTAATATTTCTATTGTAATTTTAGTTAAACATAGGAAATTCCCAACTTAACAATATAAACACCTTAGGCTCATATAGAAATCAACAATCTAATAGGCCAAGTCCACAATCATCTCCAGGACTTACAATTCAAGTATGTATATTATTATTTTTAGTTTAGGTAAGCAATATATAATGTTTAACATTTAAGTATCAAACCTAACTAAATTATTTAAAAGTCTTTGGAGTGTATACTCCAAGTTTAATTCAACTATTTGAGTTTTTATAGTAAAACTCAAATTTTTAGAATGTTTTATTCTATTTAAAACAGTGTAATACATAGATAAACAAAATTATGGTTTTATCGGTTAATATGTTAACTATTCATAATATCCAAGTACAAAATTTAAACAAAAATATATAAATTTCTAAACACTTAATTTTCTAATAAAATACTAGATACACTATATTACTAATAGTAAAATAAATTACATTAATAGCAATAATATCCCGAAACATACTTCACAAATATTAGTCATTAATCATTATAGTTAAATAATAAAAAATAAAGTTAAAATGTAAAATAATTCAATGATGTAAATTAATAGACTAAGTATATAATTTTCTAAAAATTTAGAAAAACATTTTTATAAATAAAAAATTTTATTTTATTTTTGTAAAATGATTCAATGACGTAAATTATTTTCTAATAAAATTAGCAATAGCATTTAAAAAATTTGGAATATTCCTACTATTATCTCTGTGTATTCATCATAGAGATATTTTAATTTTTTATCTGTAATAGTTCAATGGTACCCAGTTTACTCTGTAAAATTTTAGTTTTATCTGCTGCATTTTCATGTTGCATATTTTATTTTTTTTATTATTATAGCTTTCAACGAAAATTAAAAGCTTAACTCAAGGGAAAATTGGGGAGAGATTTCAGCTTGAGAGAATACAAAAGTATCAAATATGAACAAAATCAATTCACAAATATTATCTTTTTATTTCAAAAAAAAAAAAAAAATTTCTAATAATAAATATTTGAGTTAATTTTTATTAGAAAATATAATGTAAAATATAGTTTTATCGTTTAAGTTTATTGATGTTTTAAAATGTTTATGTTTATTTATAAAAACTTTTTTTTTAATTTTTAAATTTAGATATTTTAACTATTGGATATTTTGATCTAAATTTGATTTTAACATTACAAAACTAAACAAATTAGGCCCCTATCAAATTAATTTTTTGTTAAATAGAACCTTATCAGTCAAACCTTGAAACACATAATATGTATTTATTTTTTTCTTTAGACGTTCTATTCATCAACATTCTTATTTCTTAGTATCACTTTGATATCTATTATCTTTTATTATTAATAATTATGAAGTTACGCATACTTATCATAAAAAACCTTATTTTGAAATTCTCAGTAAGTTAGTCTATACTTTATTATTTCTTTAATTTTCACTTACTGTTACTTTAGAAAATGCCTGTTTATGGTTATAAATTTATGACCAATTATTTTATGATAAACCAATGATTACTACCAATCCTCTCCATATAGTCACATATGATTCTCAAAAGTCTTGAATGTAGTCCAAGTTACTTTTTTAATCTTAACATAATTATCAATTGTAAATTACAACTTTATAAAATAACAGTAACGTAAACTTTAATATTATTAACTGAATAAATTTATTTTATATTATTCATAATAAACTTATATTAAACTTATATTACTATATACATAAGCATTTGTAGAATTTATATTTTTATTAATAATAATTTATATTATGTTATTAACTTTTTTTTTATTTTTATTTTTAGTATGGAAGTTCCAGTCCATTATGCGGAAGTCCACAGAGTCCATCCTCGCCTAGCAATTCTTCTGTTAGTAGCACTAATCAACATCAAAACTATCAAACGCACAAAGATTTTTATTCAAATCTGACACAAACTAACAATCTTCAACACCACTTTGAAAATTTCTCTATGGTAAGCAACAACTTAAGATATTTTATACAGTAGCTTCATACTAATAATAAACCATAAACATTTTTATATAATAAATCAAATAAATTATCTAAATATTTTAAAACAACTCTTTTTAAACTACTGTTAAAGAATTTAAATTTGTTAATTAGTATAATTGATTATAATTGATTTTGGTTTATGCTTATATTAATAAAGGATATGATGGTAAGTAAAATTAATTTTTTTTTCCTTTTTAAATGCTTATAATAAACTTATCATATGTCACAAAAATGGTTGTTACCAGTGGTCACGTTTTCTTATTATAAATAACTGATCAGTGATTACTTTAAACTCTAAAGTCTAGACTTGGTTCATCAATGTAATTTGTTTTCAATATTGTATTTTGTTCAGTTCTGTTTTATTTTAAATTTTTAATACAATGTAATACCTAATAATTCTGACAAGTTCATTCTTGAATTATATATTTAAATTCTTTATAATAACTAATTTTCATTAAAATGTTTATAAACTATTGAAAAAGGTGAAATGTTGAATTTATAATATATTTCTTACAAGTTTTTTACTGAATATTTTAAACAAAAATTATATATTTAGTCAAGAAGGGTGGCTAAACTACAGCTCGTATCTTATCGTAAAATACAAAACATTTAAAAAAAAATATGTTTTTCAATATGAATTTATGTATTAAAAGAAGTATAATATTTTATTAAATTACAATTTATAAAAAAATATAGTGTTTTTGATATAATATTTAAATATATATATTTTTTTTTTAATTATTAATTAATATCTTACATTGTTTTGCATTCCACACAATTTATTACATTTAATATGATCTTTTTTTTCCATTTCGGCTCTTCCATATTAATATATTGTGTGGCTCTCGAGTCTCTTCTCGCTGGCCACCGCTGTAATAGGTTTATAAGTTAAAAAGTTAATAATTGTAATAAGTGAAAATCTTGAGTGGAGGACACACTATATTTTGGGTTAAGAGATAATAGTCCCACTATACCATTCTTTTATACATATACAGTAAATTCCGCTTAATGTAGGCATGTTGGAACCAGCCCTATTTGCACACATTAAGCTGTTGCCCATAAAAACCGAAATTAGTTCAAAAAAAAAAATTATATCAAAAAAAGTTTTTATTTTGCTCGCATGAATCATACAATTGAAAAAAATGTTAAATTACTAAATAAAATTACTTTTTGGATGTGGAAGGTATACAAAAATTGTAATTGCTCGTTATCTAAGCTGTTTATTATGGATCTAGTTTACAAAAGTGGCACATGCTTCAAGCTTATCAAATAGACTACCCTCATTACCCTCTTATGTATATTCTAACACTATGATTAAATAAAAATTGCTTACTTAAACCGAACTAAGTGCTCAAATTAGGAGGATGCCTTTATTAACCAATATCCACATTATACAGAATCCACTGTGTATAGTATTTCGTTAATATAGGTTTCAGAGATAGATTGAAAAAAATTTTTAATAGGATATTTAATCAGAAATAGCTTTAACATTACTGCAAGATTATATTGTAACAATTACTGTTTTCATATTAAAGTTAGATTTCTTTAGGGTCATGATTTTAAGGGTTGACTTAATATATCAATTGATACTTTGATTATTAAAAAGTTATTTGTAATTTGTTTAAGTTCGATTTCTTAACAGACCCTTAATCTAAATCTTGTAAGCACAAATTAATTTTAACAAAAACTTGTTTAGTTAGTTTTGTATAGTATGTTAATTTTAAATAAAGGGAGTATTAAAAGGCAGGAATTTAATTTAAATTTAGTGATATATATCTGATACGTCCATATTAGTCTTTAATTAAAGTGAACTCTGACTTTTTTTAAGACGGAATAATAACAATTACAATTTTTATATGTAATCTAATGATTTTATTTTTCCTCAAATATTCAATTGATGTATAAATTATAAATTTATATTTGTATAAATAGCTCAATTAATATTTTCATTTAAATTTATTTTATGAATTACTAAAATTCAAAAAATTCAAAATAAAAATTATTGAATTAAAATATGTTCTCATGTAACAATTATGAAATAAATGTACAATATTAAAATTTATATTCAAATACCACTAGACTTGCTTTACTTTAAATATCAAACAGTTAATTGTATTTTGGTTCCGTTATCATAAAGCTGGACTGGAATCAGGTGATGCAATCGCTTAAAGATTCAAATCCATCAGCTTGGATAACTGCCCAAATCCAGGTAAAATGGTCAAAAATAGATTGTAAAATGTATACCTTATATAGTTATACGGTACACATTTTTTTTCTAGTTACTTATCAATAAAAAAAATTAAGGGTTGTTGTAGTAGGTACATTTTATATCTATTGTGTATATAATATTATATTCTAATGTTTATCTTAGATAACTGCATGTCTATTGATAATTATATAAATTATTTTACAGTTATTGAAATCCTATTTAAAAACAAACTAAATTTAATTGTTTTATTTATTTATGTTTTTGATTAGCTTGATAGTCCTTTGTCTACAGGATTAGAATACATGGGCTCTCCAACTAATACATACTTGCAACAGGTAATTATGTACATTGTACATATATTTATAAAATAATATATTTACATATATTTACTATTGGCCTAGATACTTATATAATATTTTTTTAGACTGAAGAATATGTAAATTCAGAAATGACAGCTGATATGGGATATTTTAGCACTTCACCATCACAGTCTCTTCAATTTCCCAACCAGACTCATACAACACCTAATACTCCTTCCAGTATTCCCGACATAATACTTACAGGTAATTATATTTACTATTAATATTCATAACTTAGACTGAGATTTTTAGTGGAATTTATCTCAGATAATTAAATAATTTTAATTTTTTATTGGATGAATAAAAAAAAAAAATTGTGTTTGGTAATTTTTAAAATAAAAAAATATATATAAAAAAACTGAATAAACTTTAAATATAAAATCCAAACTCATTGTACACTTCCACTATTTTATATCCAGCTGTTCTCAACTTTTAATATGTAGATTTAAATTAACCAAGTAATTAGTAAGAGTTGCATTTATAGTAAAAATATGTTATAAAATAAAGTTACTAATAAAAATAAACTTTTTGTTACAACTAAATATTAAAAGTATAGTTTAACACTAACTAATCAGAAAATCACAAAAAAAATATGATTAAATAGTCTAAAAAAACTTCAACAGTTTACATTACAATATCTTTGCTTAAAATCAGTAATTGATTAATTAATTTGAAACAAAAAAACTGATAAAACTAATATTTATCATTATAACCTAACCTAACCTTTGTTTTATGTAGATTTTTCTAATGGAGATCAATTAGATAACCAAAATGATTTTGTGAAAGAATTAAATTCCACAAATGCATTTGATGCAGACTTCTTCGCCACTGAAGACAGCATTAGGCAGGGTCTTGTTGATCAGATTGATCTAGATCACTTGGAACATTTACAAATGTTAGCTGAACCAATCAACAATGAATCAACTAACAATGATCACAATCGTCACTTTCAAATGTAATTAATTATATTGACATTTTTTATTCTTTTTTTTTTTATCTGTGATTAATTGATGATATATATCCTTAGGATTGGATAGTAATAGTTATTATTTTTATTACACAAAAGTGCCAGAACGTTTTGATTATAACTAAGCTGTTGTAATTTTTCTTGCTATTTTCTTTTTTCAGTGCCAAAGACTTAAATTTATACTTTTTTCTTAGTACATTAAATTTGTGTTGTTTTTTTATGTAGTTACCATCCGATATTCTAATCATCGTTGCATTTTATAATTAATAATATACCTTTTTCATATTTCAGAATTCTTTTTATAATTATATTAAAATAATGTATTGCACAAATTTAAATATCCTTAGCTGCCGAATCACAAGTTTAGAACCTATGGTGCATATATTGTAAGATTAATATGACAAATATGTATTTTTTATACAGTATATATTTAAAACTTAATTATAATATAATATTAATAAGTTCCCTTTCCCACCCTTAATTGTTTTTGTAATATAACTTTTTTTTATTAATAAAATATTAAATTTTAAAATTAAAAGACAATGTTCAATTAAATTAAAAGATCTCGTGTTAGATGTATTTTTATTAATATTTTATGTGTATATACATACATACATACATACATACATACATACATACATATATTTATATTATATTATACATAAATATGCACACAAATATATATACATATACATATTGTATGTATGTATGTATTTAAGTATGTATAATATAATATAAATGTATGCGTGTAATAATTTGTTTAAGCCTTTCCATGGCAAATATGGTATGCATGTTTATAATTGTGTTCGTTTAAATGTGCCTTTTAATTTTTATTTTTAAAATTTAACTCAAAATGAATGTTGAAATTAATAAAAAACAATTATCATTATTTACTCATATATCTAAAATGTGAGAATAATATTAAATCTCAAACTAAAATTTAACTAAAAATATTGGATGTTATAGAATAAATTTAGGAAAATTTGTTCTTTATTTAAAATTATATTTTCTTTCAGTTTATAAACCATGTATATTTTTCCCTGCAAATCAAGTAATGATATTTTTCTTTGCTACTAAAGACTTAGTAATGTTATTCAAACATTTTTAATTTTGCTCTTATTTGAATAGATTTATTTTAGATTAAAAAAAAATAAATACTTAGTTATCATTTGTAAATATTTGTACAACATGTTTGTACATATTTATTATGTTAATTGGTTAGGTAAAGTATTTGGAACTCTATCAGGCTTTTTTTTTTATAATATTTATTATTACATATTTTGTGTATAAAGACCATTAATAATATATATCATTTATTTATAATAAAACATTAAACTATCATTCACATTTTAAATTCATTGCTTATTAATTATCCTAAATGTTTGATGTTTTGAATAAAATACAAAATTATTACAAAATTATTTGAATGATTACAAATAGTATATAACTATAAAAATGAAAATATTAAAGAGTTCTAAATCCTTTATTTAGTTATTTAATTAGCAACGTTAAACATTTTTAATGAATAAGATTCCTACTTACTTGTTTTACAATTTTTTATAATTATTCAAGGAATAAAGTTTAGGATTAATATAAATTTGGAATTTTTATTGTTCATTAAAAAGTAAACAAAATCAATTTTTAGCTTTTTGATTTTGTTATTTTATATAGTGTTGATGTGCAAAACTATGTTTGTTGAACATTTCATGAATGGAGTTGTTTTTATTTCTGTACTTACTAAATACTAGTCAATAAAAATCATACAATTTAAATCTTGTTTTTTTTTTTTTTTTTTTTTTTGTGAATTATTTATTATGTGAAGTGTTTATTTGTTATAATTGTCTTAAAAATTATATTTATAATGTTAAAAACTTAAAAAATAAATAAATATTGTAAAAGAATTTAATTGAATTAGATCAGTGTTTCTCAAATGGTAGTATAATTTTGGCCCTAAAAAAATCAATGAGACATTAATAAATTAATTTGTGAGTAAATGTTTAATTTGAAATATTCTCGTGTGAGAACGTCTTGCCACTTAAATGAGTTTTTTTTTTCTGAAAATAATAAGACTGTTGACTTTATGGGGTAATTTTAAGATCATTTTTTCCCTTAGATTTTTTAAATAGTAAACTCCCTTAGAACACATATGATATACGTATAAATAAAATTAAAATGTCTTCAAATTAAAATTGAATCACAGGGTTTTCGTTCGGAAACACGCCAAACGTTGTAGTGCCAAAATTCAATTGAGAAACGCTTAGAAATTATTGACAGCATTAGTCAAATTCACCTTGTACTTTTTTTTTTACGTAGATAATTGATAAATAATGAAAACCTTATTTGTACATTGTCATTTTTTTACTATTAAATTAATTTTTAATTCTTTAAACTTACATAGTCAATAATACATTGGTGGTATTTTTATTACTATTATACTATTATTATTATTGTGGTCTGTCTGCCTATATCATTTTCCGTAACCCCCGTTGTTGCCGTAGCTGCCGAAACCGTGTCCACCGTGTACGGCGTAGTTGGAGTAGTCGACCTGTGTGCTCGGCTGGCTAGCCGGTGGACATCCGGACGGTGGCGATGCCGGTTTGACGACGGGTGCAACCTGTTCGTTGTATCCACTGTAACTGGCTTGGCCGTACGCCGAATATCCGTTAGTTTGTTGACCGTAGGATGGATAACTACTGGATGTTTGAGGTCCGTAAGACGGGTAACTGGACGTCTGAGGACCGTACGCAGGGTAGCTGGTAGTTTGAGGGCCATACGCTAGATAGCTGACACTGAGCTGCGGGGGTGACGGCCGCGGCTGTGGCTGGTGTTGGTATTGCCCACCGTAATAAATGTACTGCGTTTGGCCGGTTGCTGCAGCAGGAGGTGCGGCGAGTCCGTGTTTGAGTATCATTTTTTTCGCTATCAAGTGGCTAGCGAATGGCTCTAAGAACGCTTCTGTGGCGATTGGTACTTCGCTGATCGCAATCATGGCTACTGCAGCCTGTGAGGTACACAATTAATTTGAAATTATATGATATACTGCTGCAATTGAGAACATTTTTTCAATTTCAATACTCCAAACCCTCTACAAACACTACCTACTCTAATCAATAATTGACCATAATCGATTCGTATTTCATAATAGGTGCCTCTACTCAATAGTCTATACTCTTGGCATTTTAGATACTTAGGTACACAGTATACATTCACTTACAAAACAAATTATTTCTCTAAATCATCCTTTACTCTAATAAATAAATTAAATATAGGTAATATATACGTATTCCATATTTTAAGTAACTTTAATAGTATAATAATTTATGAACATTGCCAAAAGGTCTACGATGGTTAAAGCTAACTACCTAACGTTCTGAAGCCTCTACTATACATGTCTAAATGACTTAAAAGTCGGGATAATCGGCTGATAAAGTGAAGTTACGTCGAGGAGTGCTGTCTTGAGGAGACACCATCTACCTATGTACAATCATTAGTGTATAGATACCTAAATATTATAATATTATTAAACGCATGGTAAACGATGGCGTTGACGCAACGCGGAGTAATGCGAATGCTATTTCCCCGAAATCGTAGGTTACGAAACGAAAAAAAAATTCGTATATGAATTTCGTAAATCATACCACTATTTTACAGTTAATGAATTGCGTTCCAGTGAAATAACTGAAAAACGTGTTATGTCCCAATGATAAAATAGAAGTACATAAGTCAATCAATTATGCTCTGACGAAAAGAGAGGAGTAGGTACACTAGTTGTGTCGCAAAGAGTCAATATCTTAAAAATTGATTCATTAAAATGTTTGCCTAATACGTAATTATTTTTTTAGATTTTTAGCGTAACGATGAATGTATCTATTGATTTTATAATAAAGAGAATATTTTTTTGTTTGTCATCACCTTTTATGGTGATAACAATGCTTTTAATTTCAACTTTAAGAGTGGTTTCCAGTTAGGTTAGGTTACTAAATTGGACCTAGTTCTTGGGGGTTAAAAAAATTCGAAAATATGACGATCTAGAAAATTCTACGGTTCCTACATTATTTATTTGTGGTACGACTATTAAAATATTACAATGGTATGATCTTGCTCGCTTCGGATGATTTCTTGAAATCGATGTGCGGTCTCGGCAACGGTTTATGCTTTCAAATATTATTTCAGTGATAAATAAAATAGTATTTAATAAAAACAGTATGGACGACATTTAGGTTCGATAACAACACGTTGGTCCTAAATAGTAAGTAATACAAAAATATAATAGTGTATTGTAAATTTCTAACCTAGCGGTATCGGTTTACTATAACAGAAACTATTATGTAAAACTATTATTTAACAAAATAGATTTTTTTTTTTTTATGGAACTTCAAAGTGAAAAACCGTAGGTATTTGAAATTTTCACCAAAGTTTTTTGTCGTCATTTTCTATAAAATATGTTAATAAAAATTATTTTGTGGTTCAAAAATCTTGAAATTTATCGTAAGATTCTTCTTAAATTATTGAGTCTAATTAAAAATACTAAACACGCATAAGCACGATTCTTATTTATAATATTTGACGTTCTCTTCTCGATGATGGCTGATGAGAGATTCAAGTTATAGGAGGTAAGTAAATGCATACAATTTACCTGCAGGGAAACTTTCTATAAAACCCCTTTATATTTGTGGTCGAGCCGGTCGAGATCTATAGGTATTGAATTAAGTTAGGTGCCTATTTATTTTTAAAGCTTAAAGAGAAAATTCTCATTAATGTATCTTATTATATCTATAAGTCACAAAATTATAAACACTTGTCGGTTTTATAGATATTATACTCCAGCTATCCTAGTAGTACCTAGTCATCGATCCTCATAAATTATATGTAATCATCAGAGTATCAAACAAAGAATCTAAATTTCTTATAATTAGATAGCTTAAGCAAGAGGATAAAATATCTTTAGAACAATAGGAGTAGGAAGTGCTATTTCGGAGTATAGCTATATGGGTAATCCAGACTCCGGAGTATAATAATTTCTAATAAATGTAGTTTAATCTATAGATAATTTAATAATAATCTACATAAAATAAATGTACTGTTATACTCACGACGCAAAAGACGAACACTCCGGTGGCCTTGCCCATCTTGTACGAGTTTTCACGATCGAGTCTGTCGGCGAAAGAAAATCATGGGCACCGGATCGACGCGCTTATATAGTGCGTGGACTGCACACGCCAAGTAGGTATACCTACCGGAATTATGTCCAAGTATTATGCCTATATATCCGCCAGCAAGAAGATCTCTTTGTATATAATGTATCGTTCACACTATAACATATGCCTATACCTACGCATATTTCGTGTATATAATAGGCATATAGGAGGCGCACTAACCTTGACCCTGCGTCCGAAGACGGTTTTTTTCGGGCAGTTCAACAAACCCAGCATAAAACCAGATTCCTATCGATGTTACGAAATCGCCGACTTTGTATATGTAATATATATATATATATATATGTGTGTGTGTGTGTGCACATAATATATTACGATATACTGCAACATTATTATCATGGCGACGGATGCGCCTGCGTCCGTGGCTGTGCGTTTTCCCATTTCCTACGAATAGGCACGAATGCGTTTTTCGTGCATTTCACACGACACTCGGACAACAGGTTTCTATAAATCGACCCGTCCGACTACACCGCAGGTATAGGTCGTATTATATTGTTATTTTTTAGGTACTTTGATAAACGACTATATACATTATGTATATATTTTATATTATAACAACATGTACAATATAATATTAAATAGTATTATACATTTATATATTATAACCGACTGCGCCGATATGATCCTCATCCCGCGGCCCGGACGTCATCGCAGCAGCAGGCCTGTCGCACTGACCGGATCACGATTTCAAACCACTTGCACATAAAATAATATACTATTACTGTACGTAGTATGGTAATATGTAATTATCGATTCTGCCGGTAAAATAATATTGTATGCCTACATAGTACATATAATAATATATTATATTTATAGGTATCAGGTACCTACTTACGAAACTACCAATAGATTTTATGCATCAACGGTTGTCCAGATTTTGATGATGTAGCTGGTGGGTAGATACCAATTAAAGCTAGATAATCATACTTTAATACTTTAGGCGTGTATATAATGTGAATTTTTCATTTAGAATAAAATTTACTCTAATGTTTAATAGGTTTATAGTTCAGTATTATTCAATATGTTTACATTAGCCAATAGATATACTTTGTACCTACCTATACCAAATTTTATATTATTATACGTAATACATAAAATACATTATTGTACCTAAATCATTGATAATGCTTAAAATCAAATGTACCTATTATTAAATAGATATAGATAATAGATTTATATAATTTATACGATAACTTAGTTTAAGTAAATTTACTTTTTTTTTCTTTCTTTTTTTTTTTGCCAAGTGGTAAAATACTTAAATGAACTATTTGTCATTAAAACACATTTTATAATTTAATAATAAATATTAAATAATGATTAATAGATACATATATTTCATTACCTACCTGTTGGTTGTTTATCTCTACAACTTTTAATAAAATAACAGGTATTCGATCCCTGTTCAGTATAGGTGCTGAGCTTGTAAAAAGCCCCTTGCGGAATGCGGATTAAACAATTACCTAGTATAGTTTAGAAATCAGAACTATCACATCAGATTAGATATTATAATCGGTCGAATAATCTAATGGGTCGCTGTAAATTGCGTCCTGTTTCAAATTTTTTATGTAAATTGCGGCCCGGGTATATTTCATACATACGTAAATTGGGGCCCCGTCATATTTTAATATATTTGCCTACTTAAATATTTGTTAATGTTATGTATATTACATTAAGGATTGTTATTAAATTAAAAAAAAATACAAATACTGTAAATACTGTAGACCAATGTAAAAACTCGTGCAAAATATTTCGATCAAATGCACACTGGCGGCTAGTAATATTATATAAGTGAGCATCAAGTGATATCCTTATCAATCAATATTAAAGATAATATAACCAGCCGACCGGAAATCGGAATATCCCGGGCTGCAATTTACGTACATTTCAATTATATCCGGGCCGCAATTTACACAGTTTATAACTATGACCTTTTTTGCGGGACGCAATTTACCAACTCCGAATCTGATGATACCTATTTAATTCAACTAAGGACATTCTGATGATATCGATATGGGTTTAACAACCATAGATAGTTGGGGAATTTTTTAAGCAGATGGTATGAAATATATGAATATATCGGTGTAAGTGAATTGCGGCCCAATTCCTAAATAATATACGAGTTGCGGCTTAGATTTATGAAAGGTAAATACGAATTGCATCCATACATTAATGCATAATATAATAAATATATATATATACTAAATTAAATATTCACAAAAAATAAAATTAGAAGTGTAATTAAAACACGTAAATATATGTTTAGCCACGAGGCTCCTATGACTTGAGTACGAGTACGAGAATACAGCACAAGAAACTGATCAGAAATATGATAGTTTTAACGCGATCGTACGGACTTAGCGCGACAAAAGTAACCAAGCCGAGTTTGCGGTAACAACGTGAAGACATACTTGTTCACAAGTAAAGGTCACACGAATAACTGTGTTATAAATCTGAGATACCATATTATATAAAAATATAACTCCCCATACGTATTGGAAATTTCATTTATCGTTATTCGTTTATTGCAATGTATATCCAACATTGGTAATGATAATTACTCGGACCGCAACTCACTTGCAGCTAAAATATTATCGGGTCGCAATTAACCGGTCTTCAACACCGGAAACGACATGTCGGGCCGCAACTCATCCACAGCCGAATATGTAGATGCCTATGTTCAATTTACAAGTAGTTAAAGCTTACAATAACCTAAGTGATATATATTATATTTATATTAATTTAATATTGTGTTCATTTTGCTTCATTATGATAATTATTATATGTTTTGTTTGTAGTGTGTACAAAAGTAGTATGATAACATTTAATGCATGTAAACATTGTAAATGTCAAAATTTTAAAATCTATTTTCAGGTAGTCTGGAAGTAATGTATATTTGATATAGTTTTAAGGAGTGAGAGCACAAACATTATTATACACTAATGTCTAAATTGGTTAAACCACATGTAATATACAGGTACTTAAAAAAATTAGATGTGTATATGCATGATTTAAGTAAGAAAAACTTTATTGAGAAATCATCAATATACCCTAACAACAGTTATATTAATAAAAATTACTTGGGTAATGAAGAGGGATTCGATCGCTACAATTTCTCTCCTCAAATACGCCTCTGCCAATTAATTGATAAGTGATTTTTAAAGTAGCGACGATGTGCCGATGTACAAATAAGTTTCTAGAATTCATTGAAAATCGTTTATTTATTTATCAAAAACTAGACTTACTTTTTTATTCGTTACAATTTTTTATACGATACAATTGGATTGCACTTTTAGCAGGTCTGTGTACCGTATGTATACTATATATACTATATAGTTAAAATGTTCTAGACCATTATATTTTATTAAGCAGAACTGGTAAAATATGTAATTATATAAACACGCACATATTTTATGATACTAATGGTACTTTACTATGTATATATATATATATATATATATATATATATATTTCCTAACGCCTATATAACAACTGATATATTAAAATATATACCTAGGTAAGCACAGTTGTCTAAAATTGTATAAATTAGTGTTAAGCTAGAGAGGAATCATAATCTATAATATAGTGGTAGTGTAGTCCCCATCCAAAACGCACATCATCACATGGTTTAATACAACTAAACCTATGCCCTTTAGCGTTACATCATTATTCTTATATTATGCAAATGAAGATATGTGTATCTATATAATACGACATTCAGTTTATAATGATCATGTATAGTATAATATTCTATTCACGTTTGATCATTGAGGTATACTTTTAAATGTATAATGAAACAAATTTCACATGAATAAATCGAATATTTCTTATAGTGTTGTAGAGTTTAAGTAGTTTAACTTGTTCATAATAATTGCATTTAAATATGGTGATAAATAAAAAGACTTAAAGATACTGCAATAAATACAAATTTATAAACCAATTAACGAAAGTAAATATAGTTATGTAGAATTTTAACCAGGAATGGAAAATCCGTGGCATACTTGAAATGGCACGCGAAAAATTAAAAAAAAATAAAATCATGCTATTTTTGGCACATTACGTTAGAAATATTTTTCCATCCCTGGTTTGACCAATAAATGTATTACTTAATTAAATAACTCGTAATTTTATAATTATGTTAACTTTTAAATTAGGTAGATACATAACCTAATATATCCGATACCCGCAGAAGCCACAAATGGAGTATATACAATATACCCATGTGACCATGTAAATATATTATATACTAGTATATACTAGGTAGGTAATATGGCAAAGTTGTAGTGTAATAGCAGTGTTCACTTTCATAATTATCATGTATTCACTAACATAAACGTAAAAATTAAATAAAAATAAAAATATCTATTTTATTCACAAAAACATTCTTATAAACAGAATTAATGTCAACGCTGTTAATACGCTGTAGGTACCAACCGAATTATATTATCAAACATATTTTAATTAATTCAATATTTATTACTATTTTATAAAAACATATATTATTATAATCACATTTTTATAAAAATTATCAAATTAATATTTCATTCTAAACTCTTTACGTAAATTAATGTAAATATTAAATTTAAGCTATAAGCCATTGTATAACAGCTTTATTATTTTATTAGTGGCAATGTGAATTTAATGCACTATATAGCAACTTTGAAATATGCATTATATAGTAATGTATTTAATTCACATATTATGCATTAAACATGGAGAAAATCGCTCTCGGCTATGTAGTTGATTTCGAATCTATCTTCTTATTAATTATATATTAATGGAATAAATGAGTAAAATTTTAATTCATTGATAAATCATTGGATAGATAAAAAAAATGATTCTGAGCGGATAAAGTTTGGTGGTTTCTATTTTTAAAAATATTTTACAACCATACGCGTGTGCACGAGTAGGGCTGATAAGACTTTAACCCCACCTGAGCCTTTTTTTTGATATGTAGGTAGGTACTTGATACCTATGAAAGTA